GAGAGAGGAGGGTGCTAGAGAGGAGGGTGCTAGAGAGGAGGGTGCTAGAGAGGAGGGTGCTGGAGAGAGGAGGGTGCTGGAGAGAGGAGGGTGCTGGAGAGGAGGGTGCTGGAGAGGAGGGTGCTGGAAGGCGGCAGGTGCTGGAGAGAGGAGAGGAGGGTGCTGGAGAGGAGGGTGCTGGAGAGGAGGGTGCTGGGGAGAGGAGGGTGCTGGAGAGCGGCAGGTGCTGGAGAGAGGAGGGTGCTGGAGAGCAGTGGGCTCCTCAGCCTGGTGGGAGGTAGCCACCTATGATGTCTCTTCCATCCATCTATCTGTGTTGATTGACCCAGTCCTGACAGTAGGGACAACGGTCCCAGGCAAAGCACGCTTATATATTCTGGATCTGTGGGCACGACCACATGGCTGGGTCAGAGCTGGGGCCAAGGCTGGAGCAGGTAAGCAGGGAGACTGTTCCTAGCCCCTAGGTCCTGCCCGAGTTGGAGGCTTGGATATCTCACACTGCTGATCTCCATTGCCTGGAGGACCAGAAAAAATTGGCAGGGGCTTGGGCAGAGGATGGCCGTCTCCTCTGGTGAGCAACCATGGCCATGGAGTATGTCTACGTGCCACCCAAGTGATCCCTGAATGAAGGTCCCTGGCCCTGGAAGTACAGGGGCAGGTGGCTGCCTGCCCATATTTGTCTGTAGCCTTGCGATTACTGACTAAGAGAAGGCACCATTGGCAGCTCCTAGGGCCCCTCCTTCTTCCTCCCTCTGCTTCCAAGTCCACAGGCTGACATATGGTCAGCTGGCTGAGCAGCTGTCAGACCCGCAAGAGGAATTCTGCCCTGTCACTGCCAGCCCTGAGCTGACCAGCAGGACCTCCTCTGTGGGGAGTGCCCTGACAGCCCGCACCCCCAAAAGCCCTCCTCCTGGGAAGCACACATGACCACATGCCACCAAAGCTCAGCAGAGCACGACGGAAAAGCAGGTGTCCCCTACACTAACACTGTGACAACAACACAAAGCCCCAGGGACAGTCAGGCTTCCCCTTCAAGTCGCCTTTGAGGGGCACGGAGGCTGTCACTGCATCCCCATGAGCCTAATCAGAAATGGGACCAAATCAATTTCTGCCAAAGAAAACGTGTACTTGAGAATTCATGGCTGCACGCGACCTTTCTCACCAAACTCCAAGTCCAAAGTCTGTTCCTGGCCACGGGGAGAACAGAAGCCTCTGATTCTGAGTGCCTGGGTGTGCTTCTCTGGCTCAACACTGTGCACACAGTAGGCACCTAATTGACAAATCATGTAAGACCACACCAACTGCTCATCAGAAACTCAAAAATGCTTCACACATGGCAGCAGGGTCGACCTTCTGTGATGAAAGGGCCCAGGTGAGCAGTGAAAGCCCTATTTTCTGCCCAGCCCTGGGAATCCCTGCAGGATTTATTCCCGGTTAAATGTTGGACTTGAAGTGTAACTACCCCAAGAGAATATGTCAGTCTACTCCCAGCTACACATGCCCCATGTCAGTACTTTTTGTTGTTGTTGTTGCAGTTTGCCCGAGGCCAGGTTCGAACCTGCCACCCTCAGCACATGGGGCTAGCGCCCTACCCACTTAGCCACAGGCACAGCCTCCCATGCCACAGTCTTTCAGACAACGTTGTTAGGTTTTTATAGGGACTCAGAGACCCATGATCAAATGTGCAGAAACAATGGTGTCAAAGTTCACAGCTTTGCTTAAAGTAAACTTAGAGTCTATGAGGTCTAGTGAGATTTCATAAATTCACATTACTGCCCTTGACCACAAAATCAAGGGCATGGAGGCATGAAATTCAGAGTGATTTTCCTGTGTCTCTTTTCAACCACCCAAAGACAGAGAGAGTCTCATCACATTACCATCTGGAGACCCTGCTGCCCTCGTCTCATGCAGTGCTGGGTATGACCCTCTTGGGACATGAGGGGCCCTGCGATGGAGGCTGGGTATACAAATGACTGTTTGTTCTGGAGGGTATTTGGGGGGATGAAGAAGAAATACTAGGTCAATCGGATAAAAAGAAATTCTATGTCTTGATCACCTGTGACCTTAGGATTCTGGGAGGCCAAGAGAAGCCCAGAAGTCACAGCCATGTGAGGACTGTCCACACTCACCTGCAGACTCTGCAGCCCTCCATAGGCCGTGAAGAGCAGCAGGAACCCAAAGGAGACCACGAGCACGTTCTTCAGTCTCCTCTGCATGGTGCTGCTCGGAAGTGTTGACCATCAGTGGACGGTAAACTTGCAGGTCCCTAAGAGGAAACCATCAGAGCACGTGAGGACCACCCTGAACCGAGGAGGCCCATCCTCTCTCTCTGCTGTTAGTCATCAAGCTGTTGCTAGTTTTTCTTGGTTATCACCGGCCACGGGAAGTGTAAGGGAGCCTGTTACTCATTCACCTTCTCTGCCAGCCGCATCAGCCACTTTCCATGGGGCAAAGGGTTAGGACTCTTATCGGTGCTTATGTCATTATACTCTTTTCCTATTAATGTCTAATAGACACAGTCCTTATGGTAAAATAATAAGTTGTGTATTTAGGAGGATATATAATGGTACCTTCCACATTCAGAGAAATGGTTGGTGGTATAGAGTGTGGGGTTCAGCCTTTAAGAATAAAGCATAAATGTCAACTTTGGGACACACGGTTCAACTTCTGAAAAAGAGCTAATGTGCTTAGACGATCCCATAGCCAAAGTCTTAGTATTGCAAAGACTGAATGGTTTATAACACTGCAATAATTTAAAAAACCCTTGAGTGCACAGGGCACGTTTACATTTCATGTCACCGACAGTACTGCTGCAAAAATTATTAGTGGTCTTAGAGCCATGATAAGACAGGAAACTGTGTTCCAGAATGGCAAGTGACTTTAGAGGGTTGGGTCAGCAGCAGAGTCACCAGCAAGGCAGACACAGCCACATGGGGGTCGAGAGTTGTGGAGGCGAGACCAGTGTGTCTGAGAAATGGAACTCATAATTGCATCTCAGCTTACTTAAGACGAAGGTCTAAACAGGCACACGGGGCTGGTGGCTACTGTGCTGGATAAGGCAGTTCTGGACCTTAGAGTACCTTACCCCAAACCTCACAGCTTATAAGAAAAGTCACTTTCCTATTGAAGTGTTAGTAAAACCTGATGTTTGCAGATGGCATCTGAAGTTCTGTAGAGTCAGTCCTTTCCGCCTGCTGGCAGTCTGGATCTGTGCAGCAAATCCCACAGCTCAGTTAATCTGACCTGTGGTGGCCAAACTGCTTGGATCGCATGGCCAGCAGCAGACAGGACAAAGCCCTGTTGCTTAACTTGTTCCAATAAAGTAGTGGTTTTGTATCAACTAAGCATGAACTAGTGTGTTTGTGTAGACACAGAACAGCACAGCCCAGCAAAACCTGTGAGCCTGGCTCAGGGGAGCTGCTGCCCATGGAAACCGATGGTGTCGGCACCTTCCTGGCCTCACATGGTAACTTCTCTGCTGGGTGAGCCCAGGGCTATGTTCTCAACCACAGTTCTCTCTCAAAAAAGGTGCACTGCAAAATTTCAATAAGCTAATAATTTTGGAAACCGCTGGAATGGCCGTTGACACATGGTAATCATCAATAAATGTTCATTAGCTGAGGTCACGTTTTGACTTCCAGAGAAAATGCAAGCAGAGCAGCATTTACGAAGCGTATCACTTGGCGGAGCAGGAACTCTTCACACTAACCTCGTTATCACAAATGGAATGAACTTTACCTCCCTCTCTATTTTCTGGCAACAACTCAGCTTACTGTCATGGCGCGGAGGGACCTGGGTTCAGAGGAGTTTCTCCGTGTTCTCCTCTCCCTCCTCCTGCTGTCGCCCCCTTGGTCACTGACACTTACCTCTTCCAGGATTTGCTGCCTCTAGTCTGTGTCTCCCAAGGAGCTTCATGTTGTGCACAGAGAAACCCTGGGGATCCGTTTCCATTCCTCCAAGCCACACCCTCCCCGTGCTTCCAGCCGCCCCTCTTCCACTGGGAATTAAGTTCTGATGTGATCACTTCGACCTGATCTGCTTTTGCCCTTGTCCCCCCTCAGGTGCCCGCGTTGTCTACGTTAAAAGAGATTTTTTAAACTGAATGGTGTATTTTACCACCTGCTTCGCTCTCTAGTAGAATAAAATGCTTCTTAAAGAGGTGTCTCCCAGCACCTGATGGTTCCTGTGACCAGGCAGGCCTTAGATGTGGTCACGGGGTGGTTTGCTCCAGAGTAGAGGGACACCCACATAGTGCCCAGCTCCCAGCTTAAACGTCCCTACAGACCTGTGGTGGATGAGGGAAGAGAACGGCAAACTCCAGAAAAGTGGAGCTGGCTGGACACTGGTTGCAGCCACTAGCGATGTGTGCCGGAGCCCATGGCCCAGGCCAGGGCAGACCTCCCAGGGCTGCAGAGTTGTGGGGATAAACAATTTAAAAGGTACCCATAATCTTTTCACTCCTTGAAATTAACATCTAAAGCGTATCAGCCTGAGGAAAAAGATAATTTTGCAGATCTGCTTGAATCCAGTGGATTTATTGGGTAGGGAAGTCAGAGCTACCACCTGCCTGAGCTGACAGAGTGATGTGGGGAGCCAGGGTGTCGTGCGCCTGGTTCTACCAGCCACTAGGTGCCACTGTCTGCTACCACTGAGTTCGCCAAGTGCCCCTTGGGTTCCCAGTGTTACAGAATCACATTTGACATCAGCAAACTTCCTGCTAAGAAACTAAGATTGCTTTCAACTAAGGCAAGTCTAATTAATGGTTTGCTCTTTTATTGATTTATTTATTCATTTATTTACTTTTAATTATTTGTTTTTTTATTTTATAAGTAACAGGATATAAACATTTAAAGTACCACTTCTGTTCTTTCTTTGAGCTCTCATGTCATATTTTGGGAAGATACTGGAGCTAAAGATCACGATCATGATCACGATTCTTTCCTGGTAATAAAAAACCAACCATTTTTTCAGTCAGGTCAAATATCCTACTTCTTGCCTTGCTACCAGTACCCCAACATTCACAGCTGTAAGAAAACAATTAGGTAAATGAAAGATGGCAAGAGAGGGAGGTTACATACCAAAAACAGGCAGCTTTCAAGATTTAGAAAGAATTACTCTTTGCTTTTAAAAGCGTCCTATTCTCTTCTGTAAGAAAATGATAGCTTTTTTCCTACTAATATTAAAGAAATCGATGTCCTTATGCAAAGCTAACGCACTGCTCAATGAACAGACAAGGGCTCCATGGAAACGACTTCCACAGGTCTCCGAAGCATCTTCCTATACCTAGATTTCAGTGATGGGTATTCAGTTGGACGCTTCTGCATAAATAGTTCTGTTTAACCTCAAAATGGAGTGGTATCACACAGAGAGTCAACAGTTCATTAAAAATGCAAATTTTAAAAATTACTAACATGTACTTAAAAGTAACAAACTGCGTCACACAGTTTTAAGTGTTCCCTCAAGCTTTTCCTTTAAAGAAGGAACCAGTCTTGGAAATCTTTTTGTTGAATGTAGCTGTTTTTTTTTCAGCTTCTTTCTCTCTGGTTCATTAAGGTCCATATTCAAATTACATGTGGAAACTCCGATTCCTGGTGTCGGTGGCTCTACCTGATTTTTTCCGATGCTGAGGACTAGATGACTCTACCATAATTTTTACTTTACCTTTATCAAACACACGGAACGCCGTGCCTTCTGCCATGGTTTTGTGGCGTTGTAGGAAGATAGACTGGGGAGGTGCTCGATATCCTTAAGTGAGGATACTTCACAAAGACTGTACTAAATAGTATTTCTTTTTTAAAAATAAAAATTATATGAGCTCATTTCTATGACAAGTCAGACATAGGTGTGCCTGTGTCTATGACATGAACAGACTCATGCTTGTGTGCACACGTTGTATGTCTAAGGCACAGCAGACTCCCGGTGCCTGATAGACTCCCCTTAAACTCTTCCCTGGACAGCAGATTTGTGGAGGCAAGGGCTGTACGTACTCTTTTTATTTGGTGCACACACATATTATTTCCATATTTTTAGAAAGAGTATATAATTTTAAAGGGAATAAAAACGTGAAGGAAAATATACTTTTATAAAGAGATTTTCTTACAAAGACCTCTAAGAATTCAACTAAAACACCGATTTCTTTCTGGGCACCTTCTTTTCCCGAGGTGACTCTCAGGCACTCGGACCCACCAGCGGTTCCTAAAATGCTGGCATGGAAGGCCGTCACCAGGACCCCAGCAGCTGCAAGGGGGCCACAGCCACCTTGTGCCCTGCGCTTCCAGGCTGCCCTTCTGTGCCCACCAGCCCCTCCTGGCCCCACCTGGGCTTGGCTCGCTTCCCCACTGGCCGGAAAGTCCTTTTGGCCTGACCTGTTTCTGAAGAGCTGGGAAGAGGCAGGAAGTGTGGATGAGCCCCAGCAGACAGAAGTGCAGGTGGTGACCTCCCTTCAGCAAATGTGTCTCCAATTCTACACACTAGACACAGGTGACCAACACAATCCGGCAACCCTCCCAGGCCTGAGCTCAGGGAGGGCACTTGGTGGCAGCCAGTGTGACTGACTGGACACAGTGTTCTGCCCCGGGTCATTAGCTGCCTCCCTTGGGTCAGGTGGCTGCACACCTGCTCTTCCCTCTCAATCCTGCCCCTCTGCTATGGTGCCACCTAGCAGGGCCCAAAGGCCAGCACGGTGTGAGAAGGAAATGGGAGGGTCACACTGGCTCAACTGAGCAAAAACCAGGCTGGTGATGTGCTTTGAGAACTGGGGAGGATTGTGACTCACAAGGGTGGGTCAGAGTTCTGTGCTTACAGCACCATCCTCTGGCAAGAGGCTGCTTTGGGGTGTCTGGGGCCAGCAGCTGTGAGTGCTATGTCCAGTCCTCCCAGGTGGCCCCAGGAACCTCTTTAGTGAGACCGCTGAACATCCTCACACAGTCCTGAGGTGATAGCGCACCCAGCTGTGTCAATCAGATTCTAGTCCCAGATGGCTGGTCTGCACTCTGGACACAGGTAGGCCCCTTCTCAGGACAGCTGGCTATGTGTGGGTGCTGGAGACAAGAGCGTGCTTTTCCAAGTAGTCCCCAATATCTTGGGCTTTTCTTACCCAGTGCCCTAAATCTGGCACACAGTTGCTCAGCTGGACAATGAGCACTGTGCCAGGGAACTCATGGGAGACAGGACTTAGAGAAGAGAAAGCATTCCCAGCCTCTCTGTGTTACACCACATTGGTTTTGTTCTTCAGAAACTGAGTCTCTTTTTTTTCCAGACAGTGTC